CCACCACCACCACCACCACCACCACCACCACCACCACCACCACCAGGATTTTCATGAAGTCATTCACAGACAGCCGGCAAGCTGCTGTGCGTACCCGGCGCTGGTCTTCTTCCCTTTCGTCGTCACCAACCATTCATGCATATGCGTGTGACCCACGGGTTGGTTCGGGGAAAGTCAGTCATGGCAAACAGGCTGCGTGCCATGTAGATGTGAGGGACCTGTCAGACGGAAGATTATGCCTGGTCAGCCACTGTGCCCGATCTAGCTTCCAGTCGGTTGGATATGAACATGTCACTGGCACTGCATGGAAAAGGGCAAAGAGAGCGGAACCGATCTATTTTACGTCGATTGGTCATTGACACAAGATTGCAGAGGGGCAAGAAGAAGACAGCGAAGCCTCTATAATACCACACTGGATCCGAACTAATGGCTTAGTAGGCCGATAAATCTCAAGATAGCATATTTCTCCTAACCGAGTGACAGGCTGCCTGGGGTTCCGCCTAACGGTTGAGTTAATAGAGTCTCAGGTGCGTATGGGAAAAAACCATGTAGGTGATATACGCAAGAGCGGATTTTATGCAGTGGCAACAATGGCTAGCACACTCAGATCAACCCATTTAGACTTCATTGTAGTAGCGCAAAGCAGTGACGCGGGAGGCAAGGACGAGGTGTGTGCTAGGAAAGTCTTCCTTCAGTAGAATCGAATTGCCACGCAGCTCACGATCATGTCCCCATCAAGTAAAGTGACCACACCCCCTCTACGCTGAGTTTCCAGGAGGGCCTGATCTGCCGTTTCCAGCCTCAAAGATGCCAAAAATTGTGTTATCCGCGTACGACAGAGGCTTGAAGCCGCGTCAGTCCCAACTCCCCGTTCGCTGCCTCCTGTGCAATAAAGTAGATGCCTCTGTGAATCACCAGGATGGACTAACAATCAGGACCTGGAAAGCTAATAACTGATGGGATATTTCGGTTCTCCTTCAAAGTGAGGATAAGGCCGCAGCATCCCGTCTTAGCATGGCACTTATGTTAACCCTCTACTAATGTTTGGGTCGAGTGCATGCAGAGACAGGCACATGTAGGGTACGCGTATACATGGGTTTTGTTAAGCCAGTCGGCGATCCGCCCACGCCTTCAGTCGCATTGACTTTGTCTTGCCGGGAGGATACGGAAATAGGCGTCTCTCGTATTACGGGCGACCCTAAGCAGGGGTTATGGTGAGATCACCTATAATAAAGGGGACGGAGCACCTATTCACTTGTCCAGTCGTCTTGCTCCTGGTACAGGGGGAATGTTGGAAAGAGAGAGAGTGAAGTAGTTCCTGTGAAGGCCTGCCTAAATATAATCTTTTACCTGCGCAAATAACCACTACTCATCCAGGGACTTTGTGAACTCCATCCTGAGCGAGAATCAAATTACCAATTCGAAATGAATAATTTCTAACTCTGCTTGGGGGTCGGACGCCACTTGACTCATTCAGCTAATCCTGTCTTAGTGAAGAAGAAGACACCATCACCGGAATAAGAGCTTTATTTGCCTGACTTTTCGGATTTCTGCCCGAAAAATTTGGAGCCTGATCATTCGTTGCATTAGCGTTTAGTGATTACACTCTACAAGGTGTATGCGTTCCGCGTAAAGAAAATCCCATATTTTTCTATGTCATTAAAGAGATATCATACAGGGTCCATAGAATTTTGCAATGGATGTGGACCATGTTGTACATTTTATGAGGAGCAGTGGTAAACGGCCAGGTAGATTCTATGTGAATGGACATATCGCGGTCTTAAAAAGTCTCATAATTAGAAACTTTTTTAAAACCTAATTATACTCCTTCCTTAAGTATAAAATATAAAGAAGACGTGATTCTCTATTGATTGATTAAAAGAAAACATATTTTTGTTTGTGGTTTCTATAAAATATATTTGAATTTCCAGGACCATCGAAAATCAATAGGAAAAATGCATGCTACTTAAGTAGTCATTTTTTACCGACTACGCTTTCTACAGGAGATTGAAAAGAAGTGCATTTAAAAGCCGATATCCTGCCGAGTCCAAAATGTTATAAGAGTATGCCTTAAGATAGTCAGTATCACAACCGCGACCAAGTAATCCTTCCTAATCGAAAACGCATTTCAGAATTTCAGCCAACATTTCATGAGATAGGTCACGCACTGTAATTCAAAGGACAGAAATCTGGAATATCAGAAAGCCTACTAATTAGTTCAAACTGTGTGGGGATCAGAATGTCTCACATAGAGAAAACCGAATTCCTCGATGCGAAAACGAAGGTGTGTAGCGGTAAAAAACGAACCGCAGTAGGGAGGTGGAAGGAGTTTGAGAGCGCGTAGATCAGTATAAGAGACCACGGTCAAAAAACCTACAACGCTACTGGGTCAATATTTTTAATTCCCACTAAATCCGCACCGATCAAGGATACCCTAGTACATGTGCTCACGGGATGAAGGTGTAGTTGGAGAATATAAAGGCAATTAGCAGTTGAGTCATCTGAGCATACGCTTCAATGGCCCCTCCTGTACAATAACAGCGTTCCTTGCCTAGCCTCTAACAAGCTTCTGTTGGACAACAGACGTTCTGCTGATCCTAATCTGGCCTTCCGAATGCTCATTCGTGTGAGAACAGCTGGGAAACCACGGTATAGTGGGGTCGCACACATACGGTGGGCTGAAAACGACCTGGGTCGTGTTTTGGGATTCCGCCTTAGCACGGCGTTCCATGATCCTTTAGTTCGTAACCCACTTGCCTACCCGCTGAGGAGTGCAGTTTAACAGTTTTTGTCTTCATTCCTCGTTTATACACGATTCATTGGTTAGACCGCGTTTATACTCTGATGTTTGAAGTAATCCAAATGTGAGGAAAAGGAAGTGCGCACCGGATCGAAGGACTTATTTGGCGGACGTTTCGAAGAGCCTGGGCGGCTTTCCATTATCAAAGCGCCTAGTGCAAGAATCGATCAGAATTTTGAATAGACAGCCGAATTAGTTGGCCTCGAAATGATCGATTTTTTTCTCCTTTCGCTGCCTTGGCCTACTGGCCGTCGTTTCTGAGTGTTGGTGGCCTCCTGTGTTGTGTGTCGTAACCTTAATTGGAATTAGATGCGTCTGTGTCCCTCTTTTGGGCGAATCGGTCAACAGGCCGTGTTTGCTCGGTATTCTTAGGCTCCGTATGACCGTTTTGTCCTCGCCACGGCGTATGTAGTGACGTAGGACTTTATAGGCCACAGGAAGTTCTAGGTGCCTGTTGATGGAGTTGGCATTTGAGTACCAAGCCTTAAGTGTGAGACGTTCTGTCCTTAAGGTGTCCCAGCCTATAACGGCTGCAACTTGAAAGTCAAAACTATGGCCAGTTTCTCCGATGTAAGTCGCAAGATGTGAGTTTGGCTCTAGTCTCCAAGTTGCCAGTTTATGTCCATGTAGGCGGGTCTGCAATTTCCATTCAGTTTCTCCAACGTAGTTGCAGTCCCCATCCTAACAAGGTATTTGATAGACAACTGCTAATGTTTCAGTGGGTGGCGGAATGTCTTTGGGTTGCACCAAACGGCGACAAATTTTCGCATGGGATCGATGGGCAATGGATACTCTGGTGAGTTGTAACAGTCGTGAAACCGCCTCGGAGATTCCTTTAATGTAAGGAATAGCTCTGCAAACTTCGAGGTGTTCTTCTTGTGGCCATCATCTGTTCATTCGGCGCTTGCTTTGTTTGATGAAGTAGCCTGGGTATCCATTGGCTCGAAAGAGGTCATGAAGG